GATTTTTTGCACACGGAGGAGACATTTTGGGTCATGATTTCCGAACTAAATTTATCATCAGAGACCTGTGAAAATAGGTAACACTTGCTCTCCACTGGGATTGTGATCGAAATTTATTATGCTTCTGGATACCCTTCTAAGAACGCTTGGGTACTTTTTCCATGAATACATTTGTCGTCTGGACTCTGTTAGAGAAAGATTCGTATCTTAACCGAGTGCATAATTGGAAAAACTTTGTGAAAAACTGAAGAATGATCGATATCAGTATTTCAACTTGACACATATTTCGTGACTAGTGGTACTCATTGAGTTTTCGTGTGACTCCCGCGATAGGATTCAATTGAATCATACGGTTTGACAAAATTTTACAGCATTTGCAATTTTAAAAAAGTTTCTTTTAAGAAAATTAATTACAAATTGCTTTACGAATTCGGCCTTGATCCTGTGCGTAGGCCGTAGGGATTATTTGATAAATGGCAGGAACATAAAAAATTGAACTGATGCAGCATTTTAACTCCATTACAAAATCAAACTTTCTTTATAGGAAAGATTTAATGTTTAAAAAAATACACATCATGATATATTTCTTGGAAATCTTTCAGCTCCCTTTGGAATTTATGCCTTTGATTGTTTCAAATATGCATTATTTTATTTTTTAATTTAAAAGACGCATGTGAATTAATAAGTTGATTCAGAAGGAAGCACAATAGTATTTCCCTCACATGTACTTTTGTTTCATTTTATTTCTCAAAACAAATACCAATCTAGTAGAAAGGCAGGTTAAGTGAAAAGAAAAGTAGTAATGTATATTCAAAAAGTTTCCTCTTGATTTCATTAGAGGATTGAGAGGCTTAGAAATTATGACAGGTCTTGAATTATCTTCAGTTGAAGCACTTTACGGTATAGTATTTATTACGAATCTCCCACAACATTCTAGTCTGAAAAGCGTTAGAAGCCATGTAACTTATCTTGATCCAAAGAATTGTTTCGCTATAACGAATTTTTCATCAAATCCCTGGTAGTTAATTTTAACAAGATTTTACTGCATTACAGAATATTGCGTGAATGAGTATGTGTTGACGATGACACAGCTGCGATAAGCATTGCATCGTCAACATCTTCTTCTTTTGCAATCGTTCTTTCTTCTCCAGTGAAATACTGAACAACCCGTGAAGAATCAGTTGAGTCGTTGTGGTTGTAGCGACATCTGTGCATGAAAAGTTACGCAATGTGTCCGTTTCCTTTCTCTCATCGACGATTGGCTTTGAAGTTCACCTAATTCAAGCTAGTCTGAACTAGATTGTACAGTACATCTATTATCAGAGATCACTTGCATTTTCTGGGTACCATTCGTGGATGTGGCCCATCAGATTTCTGGCAGATCCGGTTTTAGCTAAATGCATCTGATCAAATTGTCTTTTCAGCCGAGGTTGTATTTTGAATCTGTCTGTTTTTCCCCCTTTGTTTGCTTGCTTTTACGATCTTTTGTTTCCCTGAACTATAAAATACTATTTTGTATTCTTTTCATTCCTGCTAAACATTTTAATACGGCCTCTGTATAACATTTTGAATGCATTTATTCGAAGCTCTGCGTAATTCAAATAAATGAGAGGCTGTTTCCACTTCCAAAGAAATCTGCGACGAGGAACTGATCGAATATCTCGACTGTTAGCGATGCAAATGACTTTTCAAGCACAGTATGTGATGAAAAATATTTTTGAAGTACTGTATAGTACTATAACATGCATACCGTGTTTGCAACAAGCAAGTTAAAAAACTGTCTCCGAAAAAAAATTTGTCTGTATCGGATTTGATATTTTGTAGCTGCAACGTATTTTAAATATGCAAGGAGTGGCGCATACACAATATTAAAAGCACGTGGATGCCATTGACAAAACTCAAATTTCAGTTTAATTTTACTAAGCAAATCTACCAAAGTAATAATAGCAATAAGGTATATACAATATTATAATCCTGTCGCCCTCTGAATCCGAATTCCGAGCCTAATTTTTAGACTTCGCCTTTCTATATATTACGTCATTATGCGTGTGCATCTATTTTCATTAAACATTTTATGGAAATTGGCAGAAATTTCGGAAGGAAGAATGAAGCGGCTATTCAATTACTGCTTACAATACAGTACTAAACTACAAATAAAAGTACGCAATTTTGATTTTGCTTTCACACTGTATTGTATTTACTCAAGTACCACGTGCCATCAAGTAAGACGCGCTTTGGATTTTTAGCTAAAAAAAATTTTTTTTTAATGTTATCCTCTCATCAGACGTGCATCTTGGTGTTCAGTTATTAACTCATATTTGAAACGCTGCATTGGGTAAAAATATGAATTCAATAAACCCCACTTGAAAATAAAATGCGATGATGATATTTTTGTATCATAAGAATATTGGTACAATAATACAAAAATGGAGAAGTCTCACACAAATTTAAATTGGTGAGAAATTTTCATATTTTTAGAATCATTCATTTGAAATTTTGTTCCCAACTATGAAGCGCACCTTTTTATTTTTATTTTTTGGTCAGTTTCTTTGGGAAAAATTTTCTCAGTTAAATATTGCATTGAATTGAACAGCAAGCTTTATTTCTGCTTTTCAGCATTCCTAGGTTCAAGCAATGTTCCCACATCCTAAACCCCCCCCCCCCCCCCCACCCACAATCATCCAAACACATTCCATCACATCAGAATTGAAAACAGATAAATAAGCTGCATACAGATATTAAAAGAAAAGAAAATACATCCCAAAATGTACAATTGCATGTACAAGTGATGTGAATACATACACTTTCTTCCCTTCCCTGATAACAAAAACAAAATATCTATAGTAAGAATTGCAGCATGATGCAATTACTGGAACCAAATTGAAGCACAGGGTGTTCAGCCTGCTCCCAGATAAGGTTTACTTGATTCAACAATTTGGAGTGATTCTTTGATTGGAAATCATGTAAGGTTAACAGTTTATCTTGGTCCTCTAAGATTTTGGAAAGAGTCTTTTCATAGCATTTTAAGAGTCCCAAATCTTTTTGAAGCTCATTTCTCTAGCTGTGGAATGCAGGAATGAGAATAGAAGGCTCTTTGGTGATGCATCAACCAATGTATTTATACTGCAGAAATTACACCACTTAGACACATTTGGTAACCATCAACCCAGTTATGATTTGGTCAGGGCATTTACATAAGTCAGGTCAAAAATTACGAAAAGTCGAAATTACGGTTTATTTTGCAGGGCCAGCATGTTACAGGTACAACAACGAATATAAACTAAGGAAATGGGACAGTCAACCCTTTGTTATGCGTCAGTTGCGGTTTGCGCAGTTCATTTCTCTCACACCTGCGCTCATGTCACGCAAATTGTCCTCCAGCTATACATGATTTTTTTTCAACATTCCCGGCCGAGGTAGTTTCTTGAATCAAGTATTCCTACGACTATAAAGTACAGTATTTTCTGAGCACTGTATATCAAAATAATCTAATTAAACCCAGATCAATCAACCTAATCCGAATTCAAGCAAACCTGAAGGCACTCACCTGACCTAACTTAGCCTGAGAAACGAAAGAAAAGTTTCATGGGTTTACAGTACCTACTGGAAAGGTCATGTCAGACAAATACCTGGAAGCTGTTTGAAGGAAGAAAGAATTTCTCTAAATTTCTGCGCAAACCGGATTTTTTTTTCAGATTTCGCGCCTTGACTTCTCCCTCACATGAAATTTAGCGTATTTTTTATGCATTCAGAAACAAATTTCCTGGTTTTCACAACGAATGTTCACCTTATTTCGCTTTCATACGATCAGTTGAAGTTGAGTAGAACACAAACTTACGCTTTATTGGTAGGGTGATTTTCTCCCCGTGTTTTGGCGTTTTTGAGACTGAATTCTGACAAGCATCACCCAGCATGAATATGATTAAAAAGTGTTTTACAGATGTACCAAGTATAAATTCATCAATACTGTACAGTGCATGTCACTACGGTAATACATTTTATTAATGTAATTACGGTGCCTTAAAAGTACCGTATATGAAAATTTATATAAATGTCGTGAGTATAGGACTCTGTACAACAGTACAAGGGGTATAGAAATGAAGTACATTATGATATCAACGTTTTTCATGGCCTGGAAATTTGTTGCAGAATATTTTAAATGTGGAGTATACTGTAGTTTGTCGAGTGTTTTCATCATTGTACAATATATATTTATTAAATATACAATCCTCCTGTATATTATTTAAATTTCAATAAGGTACAGTGGAACCTGAACGTCAAATTTGAAGGACTCCAAAAAATTCAAATTTAGAAGTTTTTGATTTGGAGCGTATGCTGATTTCTGTGATTTGTGTAGGGTGATCAATTGAAATTATATTCTGGCGTGCTTATTAAAAAAGTTTATCCTTCTTACATGTCCAGCATGCTTGAACCGGGCGAAACCCCCGTGGAAATCTTCGATATGAATAATCTTTATAAAGTACATGTGCATTCCGGAGCAGGTTTATGTATTTCTATAATTTAGATCCCACTTATAATAGCACAATTGGAATTGAAAATTCAAGTAAGGAAGGTTAGAGCCAATTTTTTTTTCATTTACGGAAGTTCAAAATGCATTGGTCTCATAAGGGGATTGACCACAGGGATTAACTGGACATCTGCATTTCAGGGAGATCTTTAACTTTGTGAGGTTCAACTTATTAGACAGGCTGGACGACTGTAATATCAGTTGTTGATAAATGATGATTATCCACTTTCAAAAGGGTTGTGAAAATTTGCTGCATAATGCAGTAAAACTCACGTCATTCGATATTCCTGGAGGAATTGGTTTCTTCGCGCGTCGGTTGTTTCCCTTTCATCAGGCTCACTCAAATATTATTTTTCATAATTGCGGCTCTTCTATGACAACTGATACATAGTAAGATTGCATCTCTGGCTATGCAAAGGACTTTTTCGATTGTCGCACTTTCCAATCTAGACAAAGAATCCCATAATCAGAATTTTTTGCTTATTGCGTTGCAGAGTAAGAAATGACGGAAGCGTGCGACGCAGTGTTGGTAACTCGCGGCGACATCTGTGTTCCCGCTAGTGCGGAATCCGTCTGCGCTCTTCTCTCGCGTGCCGCGCCGCCGTTAGAGGACGCTCGCGTCCGTCTCAGCGTCACCCGAGCCGCACTCACTGTCTCCCCCAGGACGGATGAAGGCTTCGAATCAGACCCAGACTCCCTGGGCGACGAAAAAACCCCTCAGGCGTCGCCCTCAGACACCAGCAGCGCCAACAGCTCCGGCTCGGACACTGAACCGGAACCATTGGCAACTCTCACCTCCGCTTTTGCCAACGGATCCCTCTTGGCTGTGGTTAAAGATCACAAAGAATGTCTGATTTTCGACTGTCACTTGCCGCATCATGCCAACGCCCTTCTACAGGCCTTCGGGGACATGAAGCCCAAACAGTCTTTCAATAACAACATTCATGACGACGAGGGCTCCCATCAGTTGTTTCCCCAAACCCAAATTAAACCCGCACTCACGAAGAGCGCTAGCCTTGATCCGGGAAGTTCCGAGCCTTCGCAGGACACCCGAGACTCTGGAAAAACACTCTGTGTTCCTTCCGTACCATATGCCCTGTTCCAGGATGGCCTCAAGTTGTCCCTCAGTGGGAAACTAATCAAAGAACCCCCGTTATCACTCCAGAAAACCCCCGAGCATTCACAGCACGACAACCAGCAATCCTTAGAAAAAAGGCTCTGCATTGCTCCCACACCGAACAACACCTCGTTCCACAGTCCCCTCAAACTGTTCCTCACTGGTAAGCGTCCCACGGACAAGACCACCCCTGCGCCCCAGCGCATATTCGGCAGTCAAATGTCTTTTGAAACTCTCACCGGAACCCAAGGCTCAATCAAGAAACTTTCAGCTAGTTCTACAATAGCCAAGAACACTGGGATACACGATAACCTCCGTCACTCATTTCTCCCTGGGAGACACACCATAGACAAGATGTCGTCTTTGCAGAAAGGCTCGAATGATCGCCACAGTCTGAAAGAATCTCTCCAGAGGAAAGACGTTGTCGTCAAAAATAGCAGTGTCCCTACTGGGATGCAACCCGAGCAAAAATCGTCAGTTTTCCAGCAGAAGACTGTGCCAGGTTCACAAGCTCAAAAAGACGTCATTCCGACGAGCAATTCCGCAACGAAGGAGAACACTTTGACGCATTCCCGCACAGCGTCCAAAAACGCCTTCCCGGACGGCAATGGGTCGTCATTCCACGCTGTGAACAAAACTTCGTCAAGCACCAAAAATAACTCATCGCGGACGAGTGACCAGCAGACGCTTGCGTCACAGGCGACCTCTGGCGGAGACGAGCCACGTCAGGCTCTCGATACCAATAAAGCATTTGAGAAATCAGAAAGTGGCAATAGTCTAGAAAACGAGAGTTTCGAAGACGACTCGTCGTCTTTCTTGAGGCCTACGCAGTCTCTGCGGCAAATGAAACTCGACGGTCGGAGCGTGTGTGTGAGCGTCAACAATGTGATTATCGAGAAGCGGAAACCCTGGAGTCTGTTGCAGCACACTGACGAAAACGGAGTCACTCACATTGAGATAGAAAACGGAGTCACTCATCGGAGCTTGTGTGACATCCTGTTGCCCGATGCTGGGGAGCACAGCAGCATCGTGAGCATCAGTGCACCTGACCCACCTGAAACGTACAGGAGCCTGGACTCCATCATACTCCCGAAAAGCGGTATGAGTAAGCCCAGGCAAAGGAAGCCTGCTTTATTCATAAAGGCTCCGAAAACTCCCACTGGTGAGCTGTTGGCAGAAATATTCTCATCTGCTCTCCTTCTTCTAAAATTTATACCACATTAACGCTTGTACCCCACGCACATTTTTTTTCGAGCTGGAAAATTTGGATGTGTTTCATGGATAAGTGAGACCCCCGAGATGCGGATGTAATTGGTGCATCAAGAGTGTCCCCAAGTTGAAATGTCCCTAAGTTGAGTCTTGTTTTCCCATAGACTTACATTATATAATTTCAATTGGTGTTTTATGGAAGAAATATTCTCAGAATTCCCTGAAAAAATTTGTTTGCCACTTGAATTTGAATTAGTGAATACATTTTCAACTCAATAAGAACATTTGCAGCATTGAATAGTGCATCTCTGTACTGTGCACTGAAATTTTGGCATGTACAAAAATAACATTCAAGTGAAAAAAAGTGGAAGTCCCTCTATGCTGGAGGTCATTTTCTTGAATTAGATAAATGGATGGTAATTTGGTGAGAGAAATGCCCAAGAACTTTTCTTACATAAATTTTAGGATTGGAAATATCTGTTTCTTGTAATTTGGCCTGCAATGCATTTGCAGTTTTATCACAAAATGTCCCTCTGTTGAGTCAGTGTCCTCATGTTGGGCCTAATTTATGGATTTTTTCTGGGAAAATAAGTGTCCCAATGTTGAATTGTCTGCTGGTTGAGGCGTCCGCATGTGGGGGTCTCACGTTGGGTTGTTGTTTTTTTTCATGAAAAGTATTTCAAAAAGAGTGAAATATTGACGAACAATTTTTAACTGCAACTCAAAATCCAATTGTTCAAAAGCTCCGAGGAATTAAAATCTGAATTTCGTCTTGAATAACGTTGAATTATATTGATTTCCAATTCTTTGTGAAATTGAATTCAAAATTCAGAACACATACGAGATTTTCTAAATGAAAGAAGCCTGCTTTATTCATGAAGCTTCGGAAAACTCCCACTTGCTGGTGAGCTGTTTGCAAAATAATTCTCATCTGCTCTCCTATTTCTAAAGTTTACCAAATTTTCGCTTCTACCACATGCACTTTTTTTTTCTCGAAAACATATAGTTGGGAAATGTGTATATGTATCATGAATATGCAGTTACGGTAATTTTTCATGAAAAACATTTCTGGGTGTCATGCTTGAAAAACAAATTTTAACTGCAACTCAAAATGCAATTATTCAAAAGCTAAGAGAAATTAAAATCTGAGCTTTTTTGAATTACGTTGAATAAAACTTATTTCCAATCCGTTGTGAAATTGAATTCAAAATTCAGGATGCAAATGAGATCTTCTTAATGAAGGAAGCCTGTTTTATCCATAAAGGCTCCGAAAACTCCCACTGGTGATGAGCTGTTCGCAGAACTATTCTAATTTGCTCTCCTACTTCTAAAATTTACGCTTCTTCCACATGCACATTTTTTTTTCTTCAAAAAAGTCGAGCTGGGAAATTTGGATGTGTATCATGAACATACAGTTTTTTTCATAAACAAAATTTCTGGGTAAGTGTCATATACTTGATGAACAGTTTTTATCTGGAACTCAGAGTGCAATTGTTCAAAAGCTACCAGGAATTAAAATCTGAAATTTTTTTATTGAATAACGTTAAATAAAATTTATTTCCAATCTGTTGTGAAATTAAATTCAAAATTCAGGACTCAAATGAGATTTTCTAAGCCTGTTATATCCGTAAAGGCTCCAAAAACTCCCACTGGTGAGCTGTTTGCAAAAATATTCGCATCTGCTCTGCTACTTCTAAAATCTACCTTATCTACATGCACATTATTTGCAAAAATCAAGCGTGGGAAATTGGGTGGGTATCATACGCGCATATACAGTATTTTTTCCACAAATATTATTTTTTGGTGCGTGTCATACTCGAGTCACCTGGCAAACCATTTTCGACGACGACTCGAAATTCAATTTTTCATAAGCCAAGAGGAATAGAATTCTGAATTTTGTTTCAACCAACGTTGAATTGAATGGGTTTCCAATCCGTTTTGAAATTGGATTGAAAATTCAGGACTAAATTGAGATTTCCAAATGATGGAAGCCTCTGCTTTATTCATGAAAGCTCCAAAAAACCCTTATTGATGAGCTGTTTGTAAAAAATACTCTCATGGAAGCCCTACTTTTAGTTTACCATATTCACAGTACTCTAGTATTACCGCGTGCATTTTTTTGCACAAAAAAAAATCAGGCAGGGAAATTTGTTGTTTATCACACGCACATATACAGTAATTTTTTCATGAAAATTATTTCTGGGTGAGTGTCATACTTGACAAACAACTTTTGACTGCAACTCAAAATTCAATCGTTCAAAAGCTACCAGGAATTAAAATCTGGAAATTTTCTTAAACAACGTTGAACTAAATTTATTTCCAATCCGTTTTGGAATTGGATTGAAAATTCTCTACTTTAATTAGATTTTTAAATATTGTTACGATTCTTGGTCAGTGAAGAAAGAATGACGAAAGGCGCGTTTTATATATTTTCATCAAATTTTCATGAAAAAATCCTTGTGCGCATATCTTACTCAAATGTTTGGTACTTAGGGGAATAAAGTGATAATGTCTCCCAATCTTTTTACAACATAGCCATTGAGAAGTAGAAAACACGGTTTTTATATCTAGAATACGTCATATTCAAACTACTGTATAATAATATATGGGAGATATACAGTGCACTTATACAGTACTGCAAGGACCTAGAAGAGAATTTTTTATATTTCTTTGTTATTTTCAAGATTTTCGTAACACAATTCCCTTGTGCTAATATTGTAGAGATATCAAATGCATTTTTTAGGACTGACTTTGGCTGGGTTATTTTAACACAATGCATACTTCTTTACTGTATGACATAAATGTCAATGTCAGATATACCTGTCACACAATATAATTGAGAAGTTTGAGCAATGCTCCTCAGAATAAAAAAAAAATGCATCCAGTGTAGAATTCCTGAATTACGGGCACATCTCCATTTTTGGGTCACATTTTGATACAACTAATACACATATGGTGAATGAGCTAATGTAGCATTGAATGCAATTTATTCTGCCTGTTTTGTTGCATGTGAAACTGTTTTGAACCAAAAAATCTGTAGTTCAAAATAATTTTGATGGGCTGTTTTTATATAAAGGAAAAACATTTTCCAAGCCTTTATTATTTTTTAACCGTTTATAATTTGGATATTTCTCAACAGGTCCATTTTGGAGCAATGGGGCATTAAATAAATTAAATTGAATGCCTTTTTTCTAATCGTGCGCTGGAAATGTTTTCTCAGCCCTGAGATTTTGTCTAGGAACAGACACGGACCATATTGCAAGAAAACTCAATTTCTGTAAACTTTAAGTGATACTCGAATGATTTTGTCTCAGGAAAGCGGCAAAATCTCTAAAAAAAAATTTCAAAAGCTCTTATGAGTCTATGGTATTCATATCCTATAGAAAGCAGCAAGGTCTGCATGGTGTTATGCATATACTGTATCGAGAACCCCTGAGGAGCCATAAAAAAATCTCCGCATCAGTAGTGGTTCCCATCTTTGATATTTAATTGTGCAAATTGAAACTTCTATTGATCCCGTGTTGTTGCGGATGGGCCTTGATCTTTCCCCAGGAAGGGAACTCACATATTATACAGCACATGGTAATTTAATTCAGTATTCCCGACTGGCTTTCACGTCTTCCTTTCGTGCCAGGAAGCGACTTTCCCCGACTTCCTGCATACAGTACAGTGCAGTGGGGCCCCAACATACGGGCAATTCGATTTAAAGACACTTCAAACTGAAAAAATGTATCCGGACATCTGGACCATGTCTCGAAATACAGGCACTTTTCCAGTATTTCTAGAATATTTTTATAAATTTTGATGTCCCTTATTGGAAAAATAGAGCTACAGTAACATTTTTGAAAGCACTGTACCACGCGGACCTTTTTTCAGAAAATTGAGAGGCAAAAAATGGGGTGTGCATCATAGTATGAATCTTGAAAAAGTTTCAGAAATTTACATTGAACAGGTGTGTTACCATGCAATTTAATGTCCTGCAATTTATTGGTCCCATGATTTGACTGTCAAATATATTTGCTGGGACAAAGTCAACTTGAAAATTTGACCTCTAATACCCTGCAATTTCACCTGCAGAGATACACAAAATGTCAAATTCAATGTAGGAAATATTGCATTTGACATTGTCTTGCAATTTGAGCACTTCACAGTTAAACCCTAGCCCAGCAATGGATTAGGTTCGAAGTGCAGGGTACCACATGCATTTGATTCTAATGAGAAGTTGTGCACCAATTTTGACAGAAAAATTCACTGTAATGGAAAAACTGAAAATTAGCTAATTTCAGGATTAATTCATACCTAAATTCAAATATGGGGTGCCCTATTTTGTAATATTGCAGTTTTAGTGTCACTATAAATGGGATACAATTTTATGAAAATGTTTGACTGAAAACCCTGGTGTGTGTCTTACTTGAAAGCACATGGTACCCCAGTAAATATGGTATTATTTTCAAAAGAATAAATAAGAATTAATTCAATTATACATTTCTGATTCCTCATCAATAAAGCAGGCTAATTTTGCACTTGCTTTTTCAGGTTTGTTTCCATAACACGTGCTTAGTACTGTATTGCCACAGGCTTGTTCTTGTTATATGCTTTCTCAGCTCCTTCTGATGTAAAAAGATCAGATTCTTTGAGTTTTTCTCTGCACCGTTATTTTTCCATGCCTTGAAGTTGGGAAAAACATTTGTATTGCAGTAAAATTTTTGGGGACTTTAATCCCAATTTTGGATGAGCAGGAGAACCAATGAAAATTGTTCCAATTGAAGGCTTTGGGAAAAAATGTGATCTGGCATACATTAGAGCCTCCAACATAGGTACAAGGTTCTATGAATGAATGAACAGAAAGTTTTATTTTCTGCTTTTCAGCATTCACAAGGTTCTATCAACATTCCCACATCCAAACCCCCTCCCTACCCAACCCAAATCCATTCAAAGGCATTCAATCACTTCAAAATGGGAAACAGAGAAAATAGCTGCATATGGATAACTAAAGTAAAAGAAAATACATTCCACAAAATACAACTGCACAAATGATGTGTATATGCGTACACCCCTTCTTTCCCTTACATTGAAAACAAAATATCAGTGAGAAGAATTGCAGCATGAGCCAGAATTAAAGAAATTGCAGCAGTTATTGAACCCAATAGGTTCTATAATTAGTTTACCAATTATGTCTGCATCTTGGGGCCCCACTGCATAAACCCAATGTTTTGCGACGGAACTCATGCCTGTGTGGCTTCCCTTGTATATTTGCAGGAATCACCAGCAGCAGCGACGCGGAAGCCCTGGTCCCTAGCAGAAGTTTCTGGGACTCGAACCCACCCGGGGTCAAGCACCACCCCAGCAAAGCCGCCACTTTCGTGGTGCCCACCAAGAGCGGCGCGGAGCCCNAAATCTCCGCATCAGTAGTGGTTCCCATCTTTGATATTTAATTGTGCAAATTGAAACTTCTATTGATCCCGTGTTGTTGCGGATGGGCCTTGATCTTTCCCCAGGAAGGGAACTCTCATATTATACAGCACATGGTAATTTAATTCAGTATTCCCGACTGGCTTTCACGTCTTCCTTTCGTGCCAGGAAGCGACTTTCCCCGACTTCCTGCATACAGTACAGTGCAGTGGGGCCCCAACATACGGGCAATTCGATTTAAGGACACTTCAAACTGAAAAAATGTATCCGGACATCTGGACCATGTCTCGAAATACAGGCACTTTTCCAGTATTTCTAGAATATTTTTATAAATTTTGATGTCCCTTATTGGAAAAATAGAGCTACAGTAACATTTTTGAAAGCACTGTACCACGCGGACCTTTTTTCAGAAAATTGAGAGGCAAAAAAATGGGGTGTGCATCATAGTATGAATCTTGAATAAGTTTCAGAAATTTACATTGAACAGCTGTGTTACCATGCAATTCAATGTCCTGCAATTTATCTGTCCCATGATTTGACTGTCAAATTTGCTGGGACAAAGTCAACTTGAAAATTTGACCTCTAATACCCTGCAATTTCACCTGCAGAGATGCACAAAATGTCAAATTCAATGTACAAAATATTGCATTTGACGTTGTCTTGCAATTTGAGCACTTCACAGTTAAACCCTAGCCCAGCAATGGATTAGGTTCAAAGTGCAGGGTACCACATGCATTTGATTCTAATGAGAAATTGTGCACCAAATTTGACAGAAAAATTCACTGTAATGGGAAAACTGAAAATTAACTAAATTTCAGGATTAATTCATGCCTAAATTCAAATCTGGGGTGCCTTATTTTAAAATATTGCAGTTTTAGTGTCACTATAAATGGGTTACATGTCTTACTTGGGGATACAATTTTATAAAAATGTTTGACTGAAAACCCTGGTGCATGTCTTACTTGGAAGCACATGGTACCCAAGTAAACACAGTATATTCATAAGAATAAATAAAAATTAATTAAATTATAAATTACTGATTCATCATTGATGAAGCAGGCTAATTTTGCTCTTATTTTTTCAGGTTTGTTTCCATAACATGTGCTAAGTACTGTATTGCCACAGGCTTGTTCTCGTTCTATGCTTTCTCAGCTCCTTCTGATGTAAAAAGATCAGATTCTTTGAGTTTTTCTCTGCACAGTTATTTTTTTGTGCCTTGAAGTTGGGAAAAACATTTGTATTGCAGTACAATTTTTGGGGACTTCAATCCCAATTTTGGATGAGCAGGAGAACCAATGAAAATTGTTCCAATTGAAGGCTTTGGGAAAAAACGTGATCCGGCATACATTAGACACTCCAACATAGGTACAAGGTTCTATGAATGAATGAACAGAAAGTTTTATTTTCTGCTTTTCAGCGTTCACAAGGTTCTATCAACATTCCCACATCCAAACCCAAATCCATTCAAAGGCATACAATCACTTCAAAATGGGAAACAGAGAAAATAGCTGCATATGGATAACTAAAGTAAAAGAAAATACATTCCACAAAATACAACTGCACAAATGATGTGTATATGCGTACATGACCCCTTCTTTCCCTTATATTGAAAACAAAATATCAGTGAGAAGAATTGCAGCATGAGCCAGAATTAAAGAAATTGCAGCAGTTATTGAACCCAATAGGTTCTATAATGACCAATTATGTCTGCATCTTGGGGCCCCACTGTATAAACCCAATGTTTTGCAATGGAACTCATGCCTGTGCGGCTTCCCTTGTATATTTGCAGGAATCACCAGCAGCAGCAGCGACGCGGAAGCCCTGGTCCCTAGCAGAAGTTTCTGGGACTCGAACCCACCCGGGGTCAAGCACCACCCCAGCAAAGCCGCCACTTTCGTGGTGCCCACCAAGAGCGGCGCGGAGCCCAGAAAGGTGCTGTACCCCAAGGAGCCTCACGTGGTGCCGAAGCCCAGGACGGAGTTCTACCCGCAAAACTGCTTCTTCTTCTCCACCAAGCAGTCCGTGGTCTTCGCACAGGTGGTACCACCGCCGGAACCCCGGCGGAGTCGCAGCAAGAGCCCAGCTCGGGCACCACAAGTACCCTGGCCCCACAAGGTGCTGCGGGAATTCAGCGAAGCCATGCGGAAGCGGAGAATCAAGGACGATTTCGCGGAACGCATGAAGAGCTTTACCAGGGGTGACTCGGGTCCTGCCAAACCGGCCATCAGGAAAAGCTGCAGGGGCACCAAGACCCGGGGTTCCGGGCGCAGAGTCACCTTCAACTCCTACGCCACTGTGAGGCTCCTGGAAACCTGAATCCCACGCAGTCAATGATGGTGTTTGACTTGATCTTTCTGATGATGCTGAGCTTCTGATGATGGCGCTTCAGCTAGTTTTTTTTTTTTTTGAAGTGTCTTAATTTGGCTCAATGCCTGCATGGGTATAGGTGTGATGATTCCAGGATGAGTGGTGATTGGCTCCGTCCCCCAGTACGTGTTTCTTGTCCAGCTGGCCGCAACAGCATTCTAGTCTGCCTGTTTGTACGCTTACGCCAGGTTTTCTCCGCGTTTTCTTTTTCTCGAGATTGAGGGGCTAACTTGTCTGGTCAAATATACTGCGTGTTAAGGATATCACTGAAACGAGTTTCATTGCTCAAGTACGAGAGTTGGTTCATTAGTTTTGAGACTTTTCGAAGTGTGTCCTGTTCACTGTACAATCCGTGTTGAATTTTTACTTGAAGAAATGTGATGCATGAATTTTGTGAAAGGAATGCAAAGCAAACTTTGTCAGAAGAAAAATGCATGCATCACTACAGCACCATGCCTTCAGACAATTCTTTCAACACCTGTGAGTAAAACTAAAGAGTACAGTAAAAACACTATAAAGCAAAGAAATTTCCATTTTTTGTTGTTGCTGTACAAGTTATTGTTCCATAACAAGATAAAACACTACTTTTATTTGAAATACTTGAAGAATTAAACACAGGTACTGAATACAATTTTTCGTAATTTTCAGCAGACCTACCCCAGAAGCAATGAAGTGATAGCATTTCCATCCAGAGATCAAATTCTTCCTCGTTCTCAAAAAAATAACTCTGTTTCAAATTTAAATTACTGAGCTCTTTTTGATGAAATGAAAGGCCAAAACATGTGTACACAGATTTGCAAGCATGTTCTTGTGACTTCATATGCATCATTAGGAATTCAAAGCAGCAAATTTTCTGAAGCCTTTCCGGACTTCCTCAAAACTAACACCATCCACTAAGCAGCACACTCCAACAACATCCTCCAGGTCCCTAATGTTCCTGTGCTCATCGTCAAAAAAGATCATCTCCTTTGGACTCACTCCACTTTCTTTGGATAACCTGAAAAAAACAAGCATGAGATATATAAAAACAGTGGACAGAGGCATTCCTTCAACCTACTCTTTGATGTGATGCCTTTTGCACCCGGGGGTAATCACAGAATGATCAAAAAATTTCCTCCATTCAAACGCATCAATGGCCTTCCATGCCACACTGGGAGTTGGGGATCTTGATGCAACACCAATCAAATATCCTTCTTCCTTCAGCTTCTTCAAAATCTTCACCGAGTCTGGAAATGGTTTCAGCCTTTGTCCATCAACAGACTTGATCACCGGGAAGTCTCCTCTAACAATAAACATGAACGAGTACTTGAAAAATCAATAAATGCTCACAGAGATAATGAAATCCAAACATGCAGGTAACATTGGAGTATATTCAAAGGCAAAATAGTTTCATTTACTGGCTGCACTACTGGATTTTCGGAGTTAGAACTAGATCACAAAATTTAGAACTTTTATATACGTATTCTTAGATATCTTCGGGAAACGAAAGTGTATTTTAACAGTATTTTCCGAAGTTTCCAACGACTCAGTCCTCTGTGCTCCAACACAGTGCTCTGTCCTGCCAGAGGAACTTTTTACTCAAAAACTATAAAAAATATCTTATAGAACCACATTCTGAATTTTCATGAGGCCTGCCCCACAGTTTCACGCGTACATTTCAAAATTTTGCTCCTTCCAAAATCAACTGATATCTGCAGAAAAATATGAATCACAGAAAATATTTCATTTTGGAAGGCATTTTTCTTTGGCAAAGAAAACTTTCTTTTTGTCGAAATCCCGAAAATTCAGAAATATGGGATTCCCAACATCCATCAGGGAAAAAACCTAATTCTAATGACAAATGAACAAGAACTACAGAATCCTTTCTTTAGTCACTTGAAGCCCCTCCTACAAATTTGGTGTTCTTTGAAATTACATATGAGCACGTTTTCGGAATACAGAAATTCTTGAAGTATCCAGCAAATTAAAAATAAGAACACAGGAAACCACTCACTTCTCCTGTACAACAAACGGCGCAGACACACAGTCAGCGTAGAATTGCCACAGGGTATAATCTGCAAATATGAATTCAGCACAAGGTAATTCATCTGTTCAATAATTTCATGGATGCCACTTGTACGTACCCAGGTCAAATACCACCATTCCAGGCCTCCTCGGAGACTCTGCAAAGGCTGTGTCACCCATGGGCCACACTATAGAGTCTTTCACTCAAACTCCCTTCAAAAAATTGGAAGAGCATCATATTCCTCTCAAGGATTTCTGGTGAAAAATGAAGCAAAATCACGAAGTTCTGGCAACTGAACTTTTGAAAACACTGAGATTCTTTCTTGAACACAATTGAAATTGACTTCATGAAACCAATGCCAAAATGGATTGCAAGAAGCACACTTCGCAATATTTTCCTTTCAATGGAGATAGCAATCTGGTTGAAACGGGGAGCAGTCTTGAGCAGTGCTTTGAGGGTACACTCCCGTCATTCAAACATTTGCAGGAGTGATGTGATATTGTCTCAAAAATACCCACATTTACTCAAGCTAGTACCTAACACAATTTTTCCCCTCAAATTCAACAGGAAAAAGGGGGTGCGCGTCACATAACGGCATCAACTTCTGAAAAAGCTTTCCAATATTTGGAGTGAATTACGCCTGCTCATCTAGAAGGAAATGTTGAACAAAGTTCAACAGAAAAATGTATTCAGTATAAAACAATTGAAAAATGGTCAAATCAAGGTCTTAATTCAAATTTGGGTATTCTTATCTTTGAAATATTGTGGTTTTGGAATCACAAAAATGGGATGCGCGTCTTACTCCGGAATAGGATTTTTCCAATACTGTATACCCAACTGAAAAAACCTGGTGCGTGTCTTATGCGAGGGCACATGGTACTCAAATAAATACGCTTCTCATTTAGTTCAATGCTAAAACCATTGAATGTGTTGTCATTTGAAAATGTGCATACTTAGTTTCAAAATGCACATGTATAAGTCCTAATGAAAATGTAAAAAAAAAATCACCAATTAGAGATTCCCCGGTCTCTGAAAGTTTAAAACCACATCTTTTCTTTCATATCTTCTTGCAAAGACACTCTGGAAGTCCCAAATGCACAAAATTCTTCAACTCAAAGTTCTTAACACACATAAAGCTCAACTTATTATACTCAGCTTCACTCCTGCAATGGTTTGTACCCCTCATTCCCCGTCACTTCACAAAAAAAAAAACTCAAAACTTGGTAGATCTGTACAAGTCATCCGATTTTTCGTCATTTCCACGGGGCCCAAAGGTCTGGGGGAATGACTGTGTGGTAACATGACTACCAGATGCATCAGGGTCATGAATGACCACTACTGCAGCACCCAATGATGGATATGGTGGTGGTGGTTCAGTCTCCTCAAGGAGATTGGATGCCTCTGGCAGCCCTACCCTGAAATGAACCACATTCCGCTTGCGATACAAGGGACAGCAGTGACAATACAAACAAGTCAGCAGTGCGAGACAAACAGTGGCAGACAACATGGCAAATAGGGTCCCCAGGATCCAAGGTAGTTCAGCAAGGTCCTGTTGGATGACTACATCATCTCTCCAGCAGCAATATTTCCTCGTGTCCGTTCCACAGCAAAAGGCTGGTCCATGTCGACGTTCTGGACAGTGGAAGCCATTGTACCACACACCATTAATATCTAGGTAGCCAGTGCAGTACTCAAAGCCAAGGAAGGAATGTCCAGCAACTGGCAACGACACTGACATCTTTGAACCTCAAGCCTGCAGAAAAATTCCAATTGAGTTCATTGAAGGTCCAGGTTAAAATTTTCATAGCTCACGGATTGAATTCGACCATTTCAATCCAGTGGAGTACAGTGCAAATAAGTACTTCAGTAAAAAATGTAAAAATTTACCAACCCAATCATTTCCTTCTTTTTATCAAACTTGTGGAAATGCGGTCAAGATAAATTGGCACAAAATGAAAAAAAATTGGAGCAAGGAAACTGTATGGCAATATTCCTCATTAATTTCCAACTCATGATGAGGAAAGAAACACATCAAATGTTGAACTACAGTACGATATACAAGTGGACTCTCTTCACAATGAAATTCAAAGGAGCAGAAAAAAACTTTCCTTTTAAGAGAGAATCCATTGTAAAAAGCCCTGACATTATGGGGACAAAAACTTTTCTGTTGTACCCAGTAAATTGCTACAGACAGGATTGTTGTAGAAAAGGCCCAATTTTACAATTGATTCACACTTGCAAGAGCTGATTCTTCTGGTAGCTGAATGATACTGAATTAACTCTGAAAAAGCAGTAGGTAACACACCAGGGCATGCAAAGTAACTCACCATGCAGACTCCTGCAGATCATTCACCATCACTGTCAAAACACGCAGATCTTAGAAGTACGAGAGCGTTTGGATCTGAAAGTGATATGGAACAGTTAACATGCATATTAGCATATGGTCTGTCACTTCACATTAACATTTCCAGGCTTCTTTGCAATCCAGGTACAAAATACTGCAGGAGTTTCGATTTTGGACTCCAAAAAGCAAAAAAACACAACATAACAATGCTGCCAAAAATATTTCACGGCTCTTCTCAATCCACCCAACAAATCACATCTACATTGTGAATGAACACACTGAAGAAAATCTGATGGCTTAAATGTTCAGAAAGTACCAGTACTATACAGCATATATAGCTCCTGACATCAGGTCTTCTCAACAACCATCTATCCCCATGATTTCAAAAATCGAACCCTGATCTCCGAAATTATACACACTGTGTCCATAAAGAAGTCAGATTGAGACCTTCCCAATCCCAGAAGTTGCAGTGTCAATATACACTCATTGTCTCTATAATGCACGATTTTTTGCTGAGTGGGCAAGCCGATTCATCCACCTTCAGTCCGACTGACCTCTCCAGCATGTGCAAAACAGGTGCTACATGCCCGGACGTTTCGGTGCACTTTCCAACTCAACGCCACCCACTTCCACGCTGCTCCCCTAGAGAGCTGTTTCCTTCCACTCCGTCTCTCAGTGCCATAAATGAGTGACTTCATGAACTGCGCATGCTTGCAAATAACTCGAATTACGTCGAATTACAATACCTGTTGAAGAAGGGTGTAGGAAGATAACCTTCATTCAATACATGAACTTTCAGCATTCTTAATGTTTTATTCTTGCTATTTTATGAGTAGTATTTAGTGGTGGCCAAAAATGGTAAACCCATTTAATGGTATTCCATCATTATACTGCTGGTTTGTGTAAATATAAGTTCCAAACACAGCCAGACATTTTTTTTATTTGAGTATCAATTCCATGAATGTTACACCATTCCAAAGGTACAATGCTACAGTAATAAATGTGAATGCATGGCTTGTTTTCTGATGAAACTGTATATTAGAGCAAGTTATTCATGCATTTAAAAGCAAAAAGCAATTCGAAATTAAAAAAAAGAGTGCAATGCCCAAATTTTTTCAAAACACCAATGAAGTATATAGCATTAGTAATTTTTCAAACATGCCAAAATACACACACAATTTTTAACTGATTTTAAAAGATGAAAAGTTTACCTCATGAAAAGTGACATGTTGGAAGCTCATGCAAAAGTGACATCTACACAAAAGAAGTACAATGCACAATAATTGAATAAGTTTTTTTCTCAAATACATGTTGGTGTTATTGGTTTAATTTAAGCCTAAAATAACCTAATCCACATTCTGCTGTATTTTAAAACATTGTTTAAATAATATGCGCCATCTTTTTTAGTTGTAGAAGACGTCGAATTCTTCCCGGAATATGTACCCCTAAATCAGGGCAGTTAAAGTCACTCGCTAAAAGCCGCTGGTGCTCTGTGAGACAGTGGCGCTGGTAAGCGTGGCGAGGAAGAAGAAGCCGCGGTTTCAGTTGCTTTTAGTGGAAGTTGTGCTGGAACGGGGCGTCGCGGATTAACCAGCCCACAGCCAACCTCAGGAGTACCGCACAGGGCACCGCCATGTTTCACTCATGCTGCTCTCTATCCCAGAAGCTGGCGAAAGTGGGGATTATATTGTACTGTACCTGGCAGGCTGACCCCATTCAGACAGTATTTTACTTACGTCAGAATGGCAAAGGGGGCATGCGCCGTGGAACGTTACCCGGTCCAGGGACATGACCCAGCAGTCTCAACTCACTCCCGTCATTCAAACATTTGCAGGAGTGATGTGATATTGTCTCAAAAATACCCACATTTACTCAAGCTAGTACCTAACACAATTTTTCCCCTCAAATTCAACAGGAAAAAGGGGGTGCGCGTCACATAACGGCATCAACTTCTGAAAAAGCTTTCCAATATTTGGAGTGAATTACGCCTGCTCATCTAGAAGGAAATGTTGAACAAAGTTCAACAGAAAAATGTATTCAGTATAAAACAATTGAAAAATGGTCAAATCAAGGTCTTAATTCAAATTTGGGTATTCTTATCTTTGAAATATTGTGGTTTTGGAATCACAAAAATGGGATGCGCGTCTTACTCCGGAATAGGATTTTTCCAATACTGTATACCCAACTGAAAAAACCTGGTGCGTGTCTTATGCGAGGGCACATGGTACTCAAATAAATACGCTTCTCATTTAGTTCAATGCTAAAACCATTGAATGTGTTGTCATTTGAAAATGTGCATACTTAGTTTCAAAATGCACATGTATAAGTCCTAATGAAAATGTAAAAAAAAAATCACCAATTAGAGATTCCCCGGTCTCTGAAAGTTTAAAACCACATCTTTTCTTTCATATCTTCTTGCAAAGACACTCTGGAAGTCCCAAATGCACAAAATTCTTCAACTCAAAGTTCTTAACACACATAAAGCTCAACTTATTATACTCAGCTTCACTCCTGCAATGGTTTGTACCCCTCATTCCCCGTCACTTCACTAAAAAAAAAACTCAAAACTTGGTAGATCTGTACAAGTCATCCGATTTTTCGTCATTTCCACGGGGCCCAAAGGTCTGGGGGAATGACTGTGTGGTAACATGACTACCAGATGCATCAGGGTCATGAATGACCACTACTGCAGCACCCAATGATGGATATGGTG